CTTCTCGCCCTCTCAGGGCAGGGTGCCGTTTGCCGTGCCTGACAAGGTGCTGTGGCCGCAGCTGTGTGAAGCGCTCAACATGAAATTCAAGGCCGAAGTGCAGAGAAACCGGGGCCTGACCAAGGAGAACCTGGTGTTCCTGGCTCAGAAACTGTTCAACAGCAGCAGCAGCCACCTCGATGACTACAACAGCATGTCCGTATCCTGGTCCCAGTTCAACCGGGTGAGCGGCGGGCTGCCAACCATCTGCTGGACACCATCAGGGTCCTGTCACACTTTCTCTTAGCGGGAAGGCAGGCTACCACCCTCGGAGGGTGACCCTCTACCCCAGCCACACTCCCTGTAATCAGGATAGGTTGGCTCTCAGACTACAGAGGCCATGGGTATCGTGGTCATCATGTGAGCCACAGTAGGAGGAGAGAACCCCAGAGCAGGGACCCGCTGGTGGGCTTGTCACTTTCTCTGTGCTTCACTCAAAGAATGAGGGGAGAGTGACCTTGACCTTGGTGGGTCTTTCGAGCCCACACAAGTCCTCATAGCCTCTGTCCCTCTCACAGGACTAGCCCTTGGATAGAAGCGTGAGAACGTGAGTGGGTGGGGGTGCCAGAACCCGACCCTCGGAGGAGAGTTGGGAGCAGGCATGGTGGGAGCTAAGGGCACCGACTCCCGGGCCGCTGTGACTCGGGGTGTCCTGGGGCTCACAGGAGAACTTGCCAGGTTGGAACTACACCTTCTGGCAGTGGTTTGATGGGGTGATGGAGGTGCTGAAGAAACATCATAAGCCCCACTGGAATGACGGGTGAGGAGCAGGGCCCTGGGGGCAGCAGGTGGGCAGAGGACTCTGGGAATGGTGTCTGCTTACCCAGCCGTGACACCAAATGTACCACACCCCCAGGGCCATCTTAGGCTTTGTGAACAAGCAGCAGGCCCACGACCTGCTCATCAACAAGCCCGATGGGACCTTCCTATTGCGCTTTAGCGACTCAGAAATTGGAGGCATCACTATTGCCTGGAAGTTTGACTCTCGTGAGTTCCCGTCTCCTCGTCTCACACCTAACCCCACGAGCCCTGTCTTATATTGCCTCACTCTCGTATCCATGAGCCCCCCTGTCCTTAGTAGTCACCCACTTTCAGGAGAGGCAGAAACTGAGCTCAAGGTATGGGAGGCGTGGGAAGGAAGATGGTGGGTCTCCCAGAACCTAAAACCACTGCCTCCACACCTGGTGAGTCCCGGCAACTTCTTGCCATACACACCTACCTCTCCCATGCCCAGTTGGCTGAGTCTTAACATTCCAGATGAGCTCCCTCCCTCTGCCTCCCTGCCCCCCATGCCAGAGCAGGAAGGCTAGGGTTACAGTGCATGCTGGGAAAGGCTCTGTTCTTTCAGCAATCCTTCCCACAACCCCACAACCATGATCCTTTCGTGAGGGCAAGCTTGAAATAACTTGTCCCTTTTACAGCGGACCGAAACCTCTGGAACCTGAAGCCATTCACCACGAGAGATTTCTCCATACGATCCCTGGCTGACCGACTGGGGGACCTGAGCTACCTCATCTATGTGTTCCCAGACCGACCCAAGGATGAGGTCTTTGCCAAGTACTACACTCCTATACTTGGTGCGTCCAGCTGCCAGGAGGGCTGAGCAGGGGCATCTCCTCTGTGGGCTTTGGATTTCAGCATGGGGGGTTTCAGCGCTCACACCTGGGAAGAGAAAGTGAACCTTGCCCCCCCCCCCCGTTTATTTCTCTGCTGAGTAGAAAGCTAAGTCCTCAATTCTACATCCGCACGCAGAGAAGAGGCAGAACTGTCCAGAGAGAAGCAGGGGGTCGTTCCCACCAAAGTTACTTTCCTGCGCTCTAGTCGGCAGCTCTCGCCACTTCCCACGCCCCCGAAGACCGCCCCAAGTTAAATAGAGGAGCAAAACGGAATCGCTCTCCTTTTCTATCTGCTCAGTCCATTGCTGGAGTTTGCATCTTCTTGATGCCATTTACTCTGCAGGCGTGCAAGCAGCTAGGAAAGAAACCAGGAGTGGGCATAGAAGCCAAGGGTCTCAGAGGCCCTCTGCCTGGATCCATCATGGGGGGCTTATCGGAAATCCTTGGGAACTTTCATCCCTGGGGAAGCTCCAGGGTGGTGTGGGCAGGGGGCCGATGACATGTCCTTTTCACTGTGTTCCCCCTGCCCCACCTCCGCAGCAAAAGCAGTGGATGGATACGTGAAGCCGCAGATCAGACAAGTGGTCCCCGAGTAAGTTGTCCAGAGCCCAGTTGTGGGTCTTCTATTGCCTCTTGAGCCTCTGCTTGCCCTTCCTCCAACACTGGGAAATGTGGCTTAGCCTCTGAGAAGGAAAGAGTACCCAGGACTCCATAGGCAGCCTGAGTCCCCAGAGACCAATGGGGACCCCTTGACCAGAAGCCCCTCTCCTGGCGTCACTGGTCTCTCTGGTCACTGAGGCTGTGTTCAGCTTCCTTTCATAGGTTTATCAATGCATCTGCAGATGCTGGAGCCAGCGCCACCTACATGGACCAGGCCCCGTCTCCAGTAGTGTGCCCCCAGGCTCATTACAACATGTACCCACAAAAGTAAGTCCTGTTTTCATGGGGGGCGGGGTCTGTGGAGAGGAACTGGGGTTTGGCCTCAGGCTGGACTCCTGGGGGACTGAGGGACAGAGGAATCCAGAGGTTGCTGGGATTTGACTCCATCCAACCTAGGCCCAGGGTCTAGTCCAGCCCAAATGAAAGAAAGGAAGTTGACGAGGAAAATACACAGAGCTTTTTGAAGCTAGACAACCAGGATCCCGTCCTCATCCTGGTTCAGTCTATGTGAGCCTGAGAAAATTTTCTTGGATGCGCGGTTCCCTCACGTATAAACTAGAGGTGACAGGCGTTTCTGCCCCCACAGAATTGGCATGAGAAACACAAACGAGATGGTGAGGTAAAATTTTTATGTATTAAGTTGTCAGAAGGGCTTGAGACAGTGCCATGTTGTTGGTGGGAGCAGGAGGGAATGGGGGGTCCTTTCTAAGCTAAGGTAGCCTAGGCTGGATGGCTGGAACTGGGGAGGCAGCACATTGCAGTCGGACCAACACACATGTGGAAGTCACAGAGAGTCTTTTAATTTTAAAGTTTTAAACGTGTGTGTGTGTGTGTGTGTGTGTGTGTGTGTGTGTGCACGTGCAAATGTGGACCTGTGGAGGCTGGAACAGGGCATCAGAATTCCTGCAGCTGGAATGACAGGCGATTATGAACTGCTTGTATTTTTAATTTTTAAAAATATCTGTGAGGGGGGGAGGGGATGGTAACTTGTGTGACTTAGTTCTCTCCCTCCACCGTGTGGGTTACGGGACTGAACTCAAATCACCAGGATTGATTTGTTGTTGCCAAGTGTCACTGAGCCATGTCACCAGCTTCTGGGATTTTTTTTGTTGCTATTATTATGTACGTATGGTATATATCTGTGTTTACGTGGCTCTCTACGTATGTGCTTGTGTGAGTGCACGCACGTGGAGGCCAGCGGTCGACATCTCAATTACTTCCCACCTTATTTTCTGATTCTGTCTTGTAGTGAACCTGACGCTCATCCATTTGCCTAAGCTGGCTGGCTAATGAGTTCCAAAGATCCTCCTGCCTCTGCCCGCCCCACCTCCCAGTGCTGGGCTTACAGACAGGCACTGCCACACCCAGCTTTTTATGTGGGCGCTGCAGATCTTAACTCAGGTCCTCACACTTGCGAAGAGTCCGTTAACTGTCTGAGCGAGCCTCCTTTCAAAGTCCTTACACAAAGAGATCTTATTTAATGGCCTCAGCACTCAGGAGCTGGGCTCTGATTCTTTAAGACAGGGTCTGTGTAGCCCTGGCTAGCCCCGAACTCACTCTGTAGACCAGGCTGGAACTCACAGAGATCCACCTGTCTCTGCTTTACAAGTAAGCCTGCACCTCTACCCCCAGCCAAGACCTAGACACTGATTCTAGCTGCAGGTGGCCCAGAACAAACTTCCTTATTCCTAATGCTCACCTTCAGGTGGTCTGAGGATTAGTGTTAAGTGACCAAAAGCTACCAGAGTGACTTGGTGGACGGTGTGGTAGTACAAGTAAACGAAGGACCACCCCAGAGTGAGTGGTAGAACCCTCTGGCCAATCACCTTGGCTTACAGGAGAGTCCAGGTGAGGGAAAATGAACTCCTTGGGATCCATGAAATGAAGTGATATCAAGAGATATGAGCGGCACTAGGCTGTCTCCCAGGAGCCAGTGACTACTCCAGCCTGGTGGGGGTCCCAGCAGAGTGCCACTGGTCTTGTCTCTATGGGACTCTGGTCTTTGTGAGGAGCAGATGGAGGACTCTCTATGAGGGCTTGGAGCCATGAGACCGGCCAGTTTCCCCAACATCCCTCTCTTTGCCAGCTCCGACCAAGATGGAGAATTCGACCTGGATGAGTCCATGGATGTAGCCAGGCATGTGGAAGAACTCTTACGCCGGCCCATAGACAGTCTCGACGCCCGCCTCTCCCCACCAGCTGGCCTCTTCACCTCTGCCAGAGGCTCGTTGTCCTGAACCCTGGAACGCCACACTTCTCCTGGAAAACCACCTTCAATGTGAAGAGCCCACGTCAGTGTGACTGTAGTATCTCTGTATATACCGAAGGTGTTGCACGCGTGCGTGTGTGTTGGTGCAATGGCAGTGGCAATGCCGCCTTACCCACACAGGTCTGGGTCTGTGGCTAAGAAGTGGTGGCCTTTTCGTTCAGGCCTAAAGGTCCCAAGAGCTGGGCCTCTCATTCCAGACAAACCTTTCTCCTGTGTCTTTCATCAGTTCAGTGGCTATTGAAGTGAAGCAATTCTAGAAAAGGAAGGAAGGCAGGCAGGTTTAGGCAACCGAGCTGGAGTTTCAGTCCTGAACGAGAAACCTCGCCCGTATTGGTATGGAGCTGGCATGCACATGTACCAGCCTAACCGATGCTCTCCCTCCCTAGGGAGACTGGGCTTCACTCTCAGTAACACACAGACTTTGTGAGTTCTCAGTGTGCTTAGGCCGCAACCATGGAAACAGCAGCCCTGGGTTGAGTCAGGGCTACCGAGCTAAGTAGGTTGGTTCTTGGTCTCTTTATCTTTGAGCCAGGGTGAACACGGGCTTCAATGGCCTTGTCCAGATCCCTACCATCCCTTTCTTCCCCGTCTAATATCCTCATTCTTCCATATAGACTCAAATTTCTCACTGTTGGTTTTCGTTTTATTTGTTTTATGAGATAGGGTCTGCCTATGTAGCCTAGGCTGGCCACAAATGATCCTCCTGCCTCCGCTTTTGGAATGGCAAGGATTACAGGCACGCAAGACCACATTTCAGCCTTTCATTTCCTGTTTGCAACCTTGCTTATTATCAGAAAGGTGGGGAATATTAAATGTTGAGGACCAGGAGACCTGGGGAAAAAAAAAAAAAACCTGTGGCGCCAGAAAAGCAAGAGAGCAGCTGCGCACTGCAGGCAGCACAATCTGCAAGGTCAGGCAGAAGCACACTCGGTGGGTACCTCTGATGGGAGGCAGAACCCGGAACAGGCCCTGCACTGTTGCATCATGGGCTGTGGCCTAAGAAGGCCTCTCACCAGCTCCTCCCTCTGAGGCTCTGACAAGGCAGTCAGAGCTGGCTGACTAGGAGCCTGGTTTCAGGTTCTCTGAAAGCAGCAGAGGATGAGCCGAGCGATTCTTTTTATACTTTGTACATAGGCCTCACATGTACGTAAACAGTGTTTTTGAATAAAGTTTTTGTTGTTGTTGTTTTGGTAGATTCACCAGTCTGCCTCCTGTTTTAGTGGGTGATGGAGTGATGGACTTTGAAGTCGGTCCATTCCCAGTTTAGCCTGGAGTACCCTCTACTCCCTTTGCTGTGATCTCAAGGGTGCTGCTGCCCTAGAATGGTGTCAGAAAGCTAAAGAACTGTGTGTGCACACGTGTGTGTGTGAGTGTGTGTTCAGGGAAGCATGCCCAGGAAAGCAGGGGCTCAAGGACTTGGGGAAAGAAGGTGCAAGAATAACTAGGGGAGAGAGGCATGGGAAGAGCAGAGCTACAGTTCAGGATGCCAGTAAAGGATCACTGAGGGCAGTGTCAAAGAGATCGCCCACTTTCCTGTGGCCAGGGGCAGTAAAGAGCCTGGACAATAGCCCATCCTCCCCTGGCCTCTTCCCAGAGTCCAGCAGGTGGCACCCTCCAACTGCTGTGGTGGCCTGAGCATAAAGGACGCTGACCACGACAGCCCTAACTGGATCTCAGCACCCATGTACAAATTAGTTCAGAGCCCGTGGTTGGGGCCTTGGATTCAGGAGCACACACTTTGGGTTAAGAGTTGGGGCACAAGGAGCTGTATGACAGGTTACCTCAGAACTCAAAGCGAGGCAGGGTGCAGGAGCTCAGTTCACAGCCTGCCCTAGTGAGGCCCAGGGCCCCAGGGAGGCTGGGGGTGGGAGGCAGGGTCTGCCCCCGCACCGCAAGCTAATCTCAGCTTCCATCTCTGTAGGGGAGTGCTGGTTTCTCTCACAGAGGCACTGTGGGCTGGGCTCCAAGGTACAGAGGCGCAGTGAGTGGAGTAGGTGGGGAGATGCTGAGAGCAGGCACCGTGTCTGTGGCCTTTCTCTGAGTTATCAGTGCTGACTGCCCAGGGGCCCTGCAGCCACCAGCCAGGGAAGTGTCTGCAAGTTGTCCCCACTGATGGAACTGAAGAGAAAGCGATAATGGGCCAACTGTGGAACGAGAGGCCTGGGTCTACACCCCAACCCTCCTGCCCTCCATTAGGCAGCTTATCTGACTCCAGAACAAACACAGAAGCTTTGGGAGGCAGAGGGAGGAGGCCACGCTGACTCGTTCTTGCCACTGGACTATGACCCTTGGCTCCTGGTGCCTCCTCTGGAGGATGGCAGCTGATATAAGATGCACGGGCGTGTGTGTGTGTGTGTGTGTGTGTGTGTGTGTGTGTGTGTGCGCGCGCTGCATGGCCTCGGCAATGAGAAGCAGGCGAAAGCTCAGCCCCAGAACTGGGCTGCTATTCCCTTGATACTCCTAGAGCAGCTTCACCGGACAAAGGCGGTCCCACCAGCCAGCCAGGCCCCACTGCCACAGATAGTTCCTATATAATCTTTATTTCTGGAAGTTAAAGTAGTTACAGCAATATACAAAACAAACAAACAAACAAACAACAACAACAACAAAACAACCCACAATAATATAAATTTTTACACTAGAAAGTATACATTGGAATTTGAATGCAGTGGCCAGGATAGAATACAAACCACTGTACAGAGAGGCGAAGCAATCTGCAGGCATGGTCAGGCTAGGCTGGGACAGGCAGGGACAAAGGAGGGAAAGTGGGCAGTTCTGAGGACTCCGCAGAGCGAGTTTCTGCTGTCCTTGGAGCTGTCACCCAGGTAACTTCTCAGAGCTGGGGCCTTGACAACACCTGCCCCAGAGAAGACCAAGCCCTTGCTCCCTGGGTCCCCAAGATCTAAAGTCGTCAGTAGGCCCAAGCCTTGCCTTCCTAAATAACCTTTCAGTTTCTGAGTTCAGCTTACTGTGTACTAAAGAATGCAGCTGGGGAAAGGAGGGCAGTGACTGGCTCAAAGCGGAAGGCCAGGGGTAGCCAGGGCGAGCAGTTTGTCTTAGAGACAATGTCCTCAGCCCCTTAATTCAGACACTGGCAAATTTGAGTAAAACAAACAGAATTCCAGAAACTGGTCAGCTGAGCATGGTGTCTCTGAGTTGCTAAATCTAGCCATGCCCCTGTGTCAGAGGAGGTTTGCTGAGTGACTGAGGCAAGCAGGTGACAGAAGGCCACGGTAGGTGCAGGCACCCTGTTCCACCTCAGACATCGCCAGTCTCAGGGGAGGCCAAGGGTATGGCCCTCATAGAAGGGGCAGACCTGGAGCTTTATGGGTCAGCTTTGTCCTGTGGTTACAGGTACCCTGGGAACCAAGCGAATAGAATAAGGGCCGTAATCCCTGAGCGTCGCTGAGGACCTGTAGTCTAAGTCAGATTCAACCCTGTAGCTCAGCCTCTCTGGTCACAAGGTCCTGAAACCAGGATTCCCAGTGCAAGCAGGACAGGGGCCTTTGGACACGGGAAGGGGACACACCACGAGCAATGCCAAGTGGGAAAGGAAGCCAGGTTGATCCTAGGCCCAGTAAGGCACCCACAGGACAGGCTGACCCTGAAACAGGGTGCGGAGTCTTGGGGGAGGGCGGGCGACAGAGGTTTTCAGTGCCCTTGGCCAACCTCATCAACAGGCGAGCAAACTCCTGGGTAGATAAAACCCAGTTGATGAAGAGTCTGGGATATCTAGGTTCGTTCTAACCTTCGTGTTCAAACCAGAGGCCAAGCCACAGCCTCAGATGCTTTTGCAGATTTCATCTGAGACCATTTCAGGGTTTCTATGCTTAAAGCACCAAAGAGGCTGTGAATCTCTGATACAGAAAGGCTCTGCCGTTTCAGGGTGGTTTGCCTGGTAATTCTTCTTCTCGTTATTTTTTTTAATTTAAAAAGAAACCGATGGGCTTAGTCCTGTCTTCTATTTGGACATCCGCAAGGTTAAAAGTGCGGTGCCAGGAGTCCTCAGCTGCAGGCAGCCCAGGGTACCAGCTCGCAGAAACGGGCACAAGGATGCCATGGGCACCAGGAGGCACTTGTCTAACAACAATGACAACAGCGGAGCTGAGCTGCTGAGAAAGGAGGGCGGGGCACCGAACACAAGGCATTTCCCTTCTCCCTGCAGCCTCCCGCTCTCACATCCCCCTTGGCAGACTAGAGAGCCCTCTCCTCTTCACATAAACGCGTGTCACCCACTCTCACTCGGTTCTCTATTTTTAAAAAAGTGCCCAGATTGTTCAAAGATAGCAGAAGTAGGAGATTTAAAAAAAAAAAATCTGGAACCACAAAGTTAGGAGTTTCAGATGATCTGGGGTTTGACTGCGTAAGGGTGGAACGCGGGGCAGGCGCCTCAGTCATCTCTGCAGCTTCCATCTGCAGCTCCTCACATGGGGGAGGAGTCCATTTCAAAGGTGAGTGACTCTGCAGGGACAGAGAGACAAGGCCAGTTCAGCCACCTGACTGCAGCCGGCTTCTCACAAGCCTCCATCCCTCTGCCGGCGGGGGGGGGGGGGGGGGGGGGGGGGGGGAGAGGTCAGGCACTGGCATTAGCCGGTCTCCTATCCCTTCAGGCCTGGGCAAGATCAGAAAAAGCCAGACTTCCCTGCTCCTTACAGGGCCTTGCCCTGCAGAACAGTTCAGTCACCTCTTCAGCCCCGGCTCTCTAACGCAAAGGTCTGGGCTGCGTTGGTAGGCGCGGCCTTCGCCACAAATAGCCAGCCACTGAGCACCTGAACTAGTCCAAATCAAGGTGTCAAAGCCACCACATTTCAAAGGCTCAGTGGAAGGAGAGGGAAGAGGGAGGAATAGTTTAATGACTTCTCCTCGGACACTAACGAGATAGTGTGTTGCTTACAGAATGTCACTTGCCATTTTTCACTGTTTTGACTGTGGCTACTGGGAAATGACACGAATGTGCCATTCATTTCCATAGAAGAGCGTGGCTCTAAAGCCGCCTCCAACCAGTGCGGATGGCCGGCTCTCGTTCTGTACTGGCAGGCATCAGACAAAGGGACCTGACTCCGAACACTCACCAAACTGCCCTCCTGCCGAGGGCTCAGCACTTTCACCGTTATTTCCAAACTGCATCAATGAATCTAAAGTGCGGGGGGACATCGGCAGGTCAATGGTATTGCTGCAGGTCGTTCTGTAGGAAGGGGGGGCGGCAGGAGGGGGAAGGGCCGGGTTGACAAGACACAATGGAGGGGGAAAAAAAAAGAACAAAACACACACACACAAGCCATCAAACTCTGGTCTCCAACAGAAAAAAATAAAACTCAAGCTTTTAAACACACAAGGTCACTCTGAGCACTAAACAGCCCAGGAACGTCCAGCCCTTCATTGGAGCTCTCACCCCACATCCTCCCTATTCCTGGGGACAACTGAGGACACTAGAAATAAATGCAAAACTGGGAAGGAAAGCCACTTACGGGGTCACACAGATGAACTTGGTCTTCAGGTAAGGGGCAGCACCTGCAGAGAGGAAACCCAGGCTTTAACTGATTGCAAACCTGCTTTTGAGACTATGCGAGAGGAAGTCACCTGGCTCTCTGGTCCAGACGGCTTGAGCCAACCTTACACAGATTCTGCCCAGGTGCCTGACCACCCCTTAGGACAGTCCTCCCTCGTCACGTGCTACTTAACATCCAAGGTGCTCGCAATTTGGGGTTTTATGTTTTCTGCAGCTGCAGACCTTCTGGGCACAGCTGCCCCACTAGCACCTACACCTACCCTGCTGCCAACTTTTGTGTTCCTTCCCCACCCTGCTCAGAGCTCAGCTACCTTTGTGTGGTGCTAGGCTTCTTCTGTGACCTGGCCATACTTGGGAATTGACTTCCCCATTTGGTGACCAGCCCAGACACCAACAGGACAAAGACGGCTAATGCTAGAGGCTCCAAAGCCACTTCCAAGCTAGAAGATACAACCTCGCCACTGGGAAGACGGGACACCCAGGGCCAGGCACATGTGCAGCAGCCAGGAGACCTGGCCAAGGCGCTTTCTGTCTCATGTGTGGGAGGGGAGGGGAGGCCGGGCTGGCTGGCTTCCATCTCTGCCGTTTATGTTGGAGATGTGGGAACTGAGCTGTTAGAGGACATTAGAAAGCCCTGGGGACTTTTGGCACGAAATCTTGGGAGTTCAGTTGGACAAAGCATGCAGCAGGCCTGGAGCAGTATGGGTAGGCTGAGAAAAGCAGAGACAATAACACTGGGGACAATAGCAGCACAGGACACATGACAACCACCTGATGGAAGCCATAGAAAAATGGCCATAGATGAAAATCCAGGTTCGTTTTTGGCTAAGAAACAGGTTAATTCGGCACGAAGCCATAGGAATTACTGAGGCCACGGTGACATCTACAAATCCAACTGTTCTTGTTCAGAAGAGTTGTCTAGGGCAAGAACTCTCCCTCTGGAGAGACCGAGGGCGAGATGAGATAGTTAAGCAAGACAGCTCAGTGCTAGAGTTGTCTGTCGCCAAAGCTGATGAACGGAGTTCAATCCCAGGACCTACATGATTGGAAGGACAGAGCTGACTTCCTTAAGGTCCTCTGACCTCCAACAAGACCTCCACACACAATAAATCAGAGAGAGAGAAAGAGAGAGAATGAGAGAGAGAGAGAGAGAGAGAGAGAGAGAGAGAGAGAGAGAGAGAGAAAGAATTTCATTCTCCAGTGATCAAGAAACACACTTTGGGTCCAAGGTGGACAAGTGGAACCGAAGAACTAAGAGGCCAGAAAGAAATGGCCCATTCCTGTCTGGATCTGGATAAGCTACCGCTCGCTCAGAATCTCTCCAGAACACAGTCGGTGGCTTCTGGCAGACAAGGAAGACCTGGGAAGAGGCCGAGTGACGTCTAAACCACAACACTCCTACAGTAGAAGCAGAGGAAGATGACATCACAGCCCACCTCCCGGGGGTTCATTTGAACCCCCACCCTTCCTCAGGCTCTCGAGCTCTCAGTGCACCCTCCTTGTGCTCACAGGCAAACCCATCAGGGAATGGATTCCTTTCTCATGCACAGGGCCTTGCCCCTGAGGACTGGCTCTGGGCAGCTCCAGCAGGGATGGAGATGGCAGCCTCAGACCAAGGCCTGGATCGTGAAAGCAAATGAGTCAGAAGGACCAGCACTTGGACTTCAAAGTCCTCTGCGAAAAGAACAAAGAGGAGTGTGAGAGGGGCTGATAAACAGATCTCCCAACCGAAGGCAAGGTGGAGGCAGAGATAAGGGACAGACAGGAAGTGAGAGCTAAACTCCTCCACAGAATGAAGAGAACTCAACACCAGAACAAAGGGACAGGAAAATAACTGTCAACGAGCCCAACTCCTCCAGTCTGAGAACTGGACGGTCCTCGGAGAAGGCCGAGGTGGAGCATTTGTGCACAGATGCTATGTGGCCAGGGCAAGGAGGCCGGCTCACACATCTCACTAAGAGCTCAGCATGGTGCAACGATTAAGAACAGTCACAGAAAACACAGACAGACACAATGGCTTCCTCACCAGCAGGCAGAAGACAGAGGCAATGCAGCAAGTACTAAATGGCTTCAGAGCAGATCACTCTGACTCTTCATGCTGGGGACAGCCCCAGAACTACAGATATAACTCAACACGGTTTCCATTTTTCTGTCTAGAGTATACAGTCTCACGCAGTTCCACAGGGTAAAATGCATCTCATTGCCACAGCTGTACATTCTAAGTGCCAGCTCCACATCCTCTCCAGTCACCATCTCCTGCAACCTCGACACTCCCAGCTCTGCTAACAACCGCTGTCCCTGAAAGCCTTTCTTCAGACTGCCTGGCACTGCTAACACATGAAAAGCAAAGTGTACTGGACTCAAATCTGCCGCAAGGCTTCTGGAATCCACTGTGTAACAATCATCAGAGAACTGTCCTCATTTTCTCTTCTTAGTGTTTTGAGGTTATGTGTGTGTGCGTGTGTGTGTGTGTGTGTGTGTGTGTGTGTGTGTCTATTTTCATCTTCAGACTGACAAGCTCCCTGTGAGACCTGATTCTGTTCTCCTCTTGACTCCCATCAGTCACCCTGCCAAAGTACCCAATAAACAGCTCTTTCCCATAAGCAGGATTCACCAGCTCCCTCTCCCCCCATAAGTTTCCCTAAGAATGAGGTCAGAACCATGGAAAATCAACAACTACCTGGGTCAGCTTCAGGATGCTCCTGGCTCTCCGGTCGACAGTACTTTCCAAACGCCTCCTCCTTCGGAATGTCAGGGTAGAGGTAGACCAGCGGAGATACCAGGATGTTGGTGGCGTCCATGATCTTATAGCCCATGATTATCTCAGCAAAAGACATGTTGTTCAGCTGCTGCTTGGTGTACGGCTCTACAGACTGGATCTGGGTCTTGCCTGTCGTGGGGCACAGGAAGGAAAAAGATTACCCCAGTATAGTGCTGGAGGCCTTGAGTGCCCTACCCGGCAGCTCACAGTCATGGCAATGACCAGGCTGGCTTTTAGAGAGGCTGTCAAGCTGAATCGCAGGCAGAGCACTTGCTTCTGACATATTAACATGCTAAGTAGGAAAGGGAATGTGGAAATAAGATTCAAATCACAAATATTAGCCAGCCCTGGAGCGAACAAAACAAACTGGCAGGCCACCTCTCTGCCCTCTCTGCCCTCCAGGGGGCAGCAGTACACAGAACAAGAAGCAGCCAGGTGCTGGCAGTAGCCACCAGGTGGAGCAAGCGAGACAGGAGGGGCAGGTGAAAAGTCTCACTCACCACTGATGTCCTTTTCCACCCAAGTGAAAGTGACCCCTCCTTCTTTGCTGCTCTCGCTGAATCTCAGCAGGAAGGTGCCCGGGGGCTTCGTGCTCAGAATGGCCCGCTCCCGCTCCTTGCTGATGAAACCCATGATGTACCTGGAGCCAAGGAAAACCCACGTTGTTTGTGCGCAGAAGGCTGTCCCTGTCACGGGCTTGCTGGGAACAGGTGACCTGGTCACACAGTATAGCCAAGTTTCAGCCTTACCCTTCATTCCAAAGGGCCAAGATATACTTTTTCACAAGGTCAATGATATTGTCTAGCCACACCCAGAAGGAGAAGCCCTTGCCAGCCATGTTTTCCTGGAGAAAAGAATCATGGGAAAGTCAAGTCCACTACCGTCCATTCCAGCCCTATCAGCCTGAACCTCAGTACTCTGCCAATACCCTCACACTTCTCTATGCTAGGGCAGATCCTACTAGCTCTAGAGAGAGGGGCTCAGGCTTTCAGTAGCCATGCCCCCCCAACAATTCCCTTATAAACGAGCATTCCAGACCTGCCTCCCAGGAGACAATCACTTACTTTGCAAAACTTAGCCCATGTGATCTGACACCCTGAGTAGTTTACACCAGGTCCTGGAGGAGAGAAACGAACAGAAGAATGTCAGCCCCGATTGAAGATTTTATTTCTCAAACAGAATTTGCAAACATTTGTCCCATGTATTTGATCTCGCAGGGTGCCATGGTTGTGTGTGTGCGCGTGCACGCGCGTGTGTATGGTCACGTGCTCAAACAGGCCCGCACACATCCAACCCCAGCATCTGACCCTGGATTACCCTGGCACTGATGCCCTATTGGGCTCCTGTTCTTCCTTGCCGTATATGGATCTGAGGACCAGCGTCACACACTAACAAGCTGACCGTGGTGTGTGGATCTGAGGACCAGCGTCACACACTAACAAAATGGCCGTGTGTGGTTCTGAGGACCAGCGTCACACACAAGCTGACAGCTGTGGTTAGGTCACATCCGGTGTAGTCAAAGCTACTTTTAATCCAGATTTTTTTGAAAGGAAAGAAAAATTTTCTACTACCACCCATGACTTCTTAAATGGGCAGCGGACACCATGCTCTTACCATCTTCTGCAGCACACTGAAACATCTCCTCAGGTTAGTCAGAGCAGTGCCTTGGAAGGCAATCAAGAAAAAAGAAACCCTTCCCGCCCCCACCATGTACCCTAAAAATGAACACTAGGATATACCTGGTGCAGTAGGCCCTAGGTAGCCACTGGGAAACCCTGCCTGAGTGACCAACCGCCCAGACCAGAATGCCATCGGAAGCTGTCAGACTCCCACCTAAGAGCTTCTCGGCCAGCGTGGTGAGCTGCTCGATGCTCAGCCCTCGCTTTGTGGTGGAAGAGAACTGCCAGCTGAGCACCTCGGCCACTTGGTCCCAGGTTCCGATTGGTGGCTTGGTGAAGAAGTTCACGTTCTATTGAGAAGATGAGAGAGTGGCGCGGATGATCACACGGGGGCTGAGACAGCACAAGAGAGTCCGGGACTTCAGAGAGGGCGTCGGGGACTCACCTTGGGGTTGTTGGTCAGCATGTTATACCACAGGATCGACGCCCAAGCATTTGGCATCTGGCAGATGTTGGAGATCACCACGACCGGCAAGGAGTGGGTCTGCAGAGTATGGGGGACAGACAGGGAATGATGTGGCTGACAAGTCGGCCTCACAGCTCCAAAACACCTCTTCAGCTGCACCTCCACGGGTTAGAACTAAAAATCCTGTCACACCAGATGCCGACTCTGAGCAGGAGTGTGACTGAAGCAGCTCAACACCAAGAGGGGAAGAATGACCAGCCTGCGCACCAGGACTCACTGACATCTGAACAGAATCAGTGACTTAGAAAATCTAATTGGTTCAAAACTAGGCCCCCAGCCCTGACTTTCCAGAAACCTGGAAGGCAACCTCCAAAATCCAAAGTATCTGTATCTTTCCGTCTTTCCATGAAACGAGGTGCCAGAAATCAAACATGAGGGTTACTGTTTTCCAAGTGTAACTTAGTAAGATCTAGAAGGCTGAAAAACAAAACCTAAATGCCATGATTTTCTGCACACTGAGATGGTGGCTACAAAGACTCACTTGGCCACCTCGTCAAATCAAGTCTAAGCAATCACTAAAGACAGTTTTCCTAACCATGTGCTCAGGACTTTCTTCCCAGGGGGTGGCTCTCAAGGACTTTTCAGAGACAGACGGTGAAAACCAAACACAGGCTTAGCAAACAGTCCATGCCACCAGGCATTTTGTCCTGCCCCCTGCGTGCCCACAGGCTGGCTCTGTGCAGAACTCACCTCTAGGTCAATCTTGAGGCCTTGGTGATACACCTCAGTCTCGAAGGTGATCAGGTGCAGCTCCTCAGTCACAATCAAGGAGGCCTACAACAGCGAGGTCACGTCTTCAGAGAATGACACTGAGTTCCCAAAGGCAACAACGGAGGAAAGCAATGTGCCACGGCCTCACTACGCTAAGAAGGTGGCCGTGGACAGTGGCAGGGGCACAGTTCTGTACCTTCTCCCTTCAGGAGAAGACCCTTGAGGACAGGAGCCTCAAACCTGATCTTTTATTATGTATTTCATAATAAATAATATTTTATAATATATAGATTCAAGGACAAAGAAGAAAGCAATGGACATCCAAGGATACACCACCCCACTAATTTACTTATTTAGGAGCCAGCAAGATGGCTCCGTGGGTAAGGGCATTTTCCTGATAACCTGAGTCTAACCCCTGAGACCCATACAGTGGAAGGAAAAAACAGCCCTGCAAGTGGCTCTTTGACCTCCACATACACACCATGGCACATGGGTGTCCATAGACAGATAGGAAGAAAAAGGGAGGAAGGGAGGGAGGGAGGGAGGAAGAGAGGGAGGAAGGGAAGGGAAGGGAAGGGAAGGGAAGGGAAGGGAAGGGAAGGGAAGGGAAGGGAAGAAGGAAAACTTATTTGAGTCTCTTCCTTTTCTCTCCCCCTCCTCTCTTCCATCCACACTACGGGGCAAACTCGGGGTTTCATGCATGCTGAGTGCACCCCACCATGAGCAAGAGCCTAGCATTACCCACGGAAAGCCATGACCACTGACGTTCCCCAGGTGACTTTCCCCTCCTCTGCAGTGCTGCTCTGTCTGCGGCTCTGTTTCCTGACTCCTCCTAACCATGCTCATGGGTGTTTCTCCAGGCATGTGCATTCGACATGGGGTAGCTGTGAACCCCACACACGTGGTGCGGTCCTACTGTCAATATGTTTCGGCTGCTGGCCCCCCACCCCCAGTGTGAGGTGGGTCTGTGATCACATGTAGTTCCCACACTTGTCACAGCTGCAGAGTATCGCACTGTGACTGCGTCACACTCGTGCCTCCCTAGCGCGCTGACAGATCTGGGCTGTGTTTGGGGAGTAACCGGTGACTGCGATCATGTACTTGCCCTCGGTCCACCTTTGCAAAGCTTTCGTTACTGTTATATCTGGGACTGGGTCTGCTGGTCTACAGGGCATGCTCATTTTTATAATGCCAAGTTGCTTTCCAAAGTGACAACCTTTGCTTCCACGAGAGGTCAGGCAGCGCGGCCACCTGTTTATAAGGGATTAGCAATGAACTCTTAGGAATGAAATTCCAGTTCTTTCAAATGCATGCTGAAGGACGGATAATCTCAAACTCATGACCCCCTGCCTCAGCTGCTGAGTGCTCTGTGTGTGTGTGTGTGTGTGTGTGATTTCTTAAGTTTAACTCTGACTTGCTTTCTGTCTCATCAAGGCACACAAAATGGAGCCAGCTGGCAGGTGGTGGCAAGGGACTTTGGGAAGCCCCAGGCAAGGTGGAAACTTTTCTACCAAATGGGTGTGGGTAACAGCTCGACAAGGGACTTCCCACTGCTGAAAGGGGTGGGGGCAACCCCCAACTCTCAGGGAAGTGCTCCTCTTGAGAACTCCCGGCACCTGCAACTTCTGAGCAGTCACACTGGCCCAGGGCAACTTCTCTAAGCCGGCAGCTGAAGCAGCAGGTCAGAGTCTGGGCCAGAGAAAGAGCACGCTCTCCTTTCCTCACGGAAACACAGCCAGATAGTTCTTAGCCTGAACAAAACTTACATCACAATTGGCACGGCCCCCATTCCCACATCTCTGCTCCCTCAGGGTCTGGAAGAAAGGGGAAAAAGCCAAGTGTCATGTGTGATTGTCACAAGCTCTCCCTCTGCCACTTGCTCTCTGTGCAGGGGAGCCGGCCCGCAACCCCATGACCTACCAAGTGCTTGAATTCCGCAGACAGGCTGCCATTGTTGGACTCTTCCATGTTCATCACTTTGGTGTTTGTGCCCAGAATGTTAAATTTCCGAGATCTGAATCATGGGAGGAAAATCAACACATGAGTGGCTGCCGAGCAGCCAGAGGATAAAGCTGGACGGAGAGAACAAAGGGGGCAGGACTCACCCTCTGAGAGCAGCAACATCCCCAGAGTCCCTGTCAAGAACACAGATGAAAGTTAACAAAATGGAAGTCATCGATCCTGTTTCTCTCCAGAACCTGCTTTGATGGGAAATGCCTTTAGCTGTCCAGTTTTGTTTTAGGGGTGAAATGAAACTGTATTTAAGCAGTAGCCGCAGTCGGGTGTCTATCCCATAGTTCCTTTCCCTTTCCCTAACAAAACTCAGTTCTGCTCAGCTTGGGATGGTAGAGCCCGTCCCTACCTCCGGGGGAGCCCTGACATGGGATACACTAAGGATGGGACGGAGGATTCCGGGTTCCTGAAGACACCTGTGAGTCACTGAGCTCATTGTCAGGTGCTTGCCCCAACTGCATTTCCAGTTACACAGGTAACTGGAAATTTCCTCATTACTTAAGCCATGCTGGGTTTTCCGTAAAGGCCTGTTGTCACCTATCCCATGACACAGCTGCAAGCGCTGTCCCCAGGTAACCACCGCCACCTCTGTCCCTGACTAGTCTATCTTTTTATATTAGGATATTTCTGTTTCTATCTCCTTTTAGAGTGCTATTTTAAAAGTTTTCAGTCAGGTATGATGGTGCATGCTTTTAATCCCAGCACTTGGGAGGCAGGTGGGGATCTCTATGAGTGTAAGCTCAGCCTGGTCTACAGTGCTAGTTCTGGGACAGCCAGAGCTTCAAAGAGAAACCCTGTCTTGAAAAACAAAAAACCAAGCAAATAAATAAATAAAATTGCTTCTCCACTGCTATATATTTACCTACAAATAGAATGTTCTAGAGGATTTGTAGAGGAAAACTGATCAGCTCTAGAACATTTCTTCCTTTCTAGGTTATTGCATTCTTAAATCAATTACCAGCTCTCCCTCAAGTCTGAATTATATCTCTTTTTTATATATCCTTTTTTGTATTAATTTTATTTATAATTCATAATCAATAAATTGCACAGCCTATAATGCACAACCTTATGGGGCTGGCTTAGAAGTGCTATTCACACCTATGAAACCATCAGCACAATCCAGGACAAATCCAACATCCCCAAGTGTTCCTAAGCTCATTTGTAATGCACCCCTGCCCCACACTTCACCCCACCCTGTGCCCATTGTGCTTCCTGTCACTACCGATTTGTTTGTGTTTTTAGAAATATATACAAGCAAACATAACCATGCCCTCTTTTGCGGGGAGACATGGTTTCCTCCACTCAACATAACGACTTTGAAGGTGTACTCATGTTTTACAGATCAATAGATCCTTTCATGGGGCTGGAGAGATGACCCAAAGGTTAAGAGCGCTGGCTGTTCTTCCAGAGAACACAGGGTCAACTCCCAGCATCCACATGGCAGCTCACAACTGTCTGTGCTGCTCCAGCTCCAGGGGATACAATACCCTTACAGAGACACACATGCAGGCAAAACACTAGTGCACATAAAATAAAAAAGAAAGAAAGAAAAGTAGTTCCTTTTGTTTTGGTGACAAACAGTATACCACTGTATGAGAGTGCAAACTGTTTATTCATTCCTGTTAGTGGACATGCATGTGCATTTTTCTGTGTTAACACCTATGAGTGAAATGGTTGTGGTTTTACTTTGTAGGACATTGTCAGAACTGCTTTTGAGTGGTGATGTCACTTTTCTGTGCCACGGTGACAGTATGCACCCGTGTTCTATGGGGGCTTCTGCAAACCTGTAAATATAGCAAATATGCCTGGAGCTTATTTTAATGGCCCATAAGAGAAGAGCCCTCACTTTTCACCCCAGCCTCTACGAAGCTGTCCCACTGCCCCTCATTGAGCACCCTGCCCTCCCTGCCTCGGGAGACCCATTTTACATGTGCTGATCTCGTATGTTAGCCTCGAGTCTGTCTCTAGACTTCAGGTCTCGTTACGACCAAGCGGCATCCTTGTCCCTGTGACACATCTAACAACTGGACCTCTGCAATGCATCTTAATACCCGGCAAGGCGGCTTCCTGTATCCAGGTCTCCTATTACTTTTATTTATATAAAAACTCTTTGGAAATAAGTGGCGAGCATCAGATACTAGGGGAAAGGCAAGCAGCTGTTCAGGACAAAGCTTCAGGTTTACAAAGCGGCTGCATTCCGGAGACCTGCTTCTGTCCGGAGCTGCCGAACTGTACCCTCGGGATGAATACGGGGATGGGGAGATGGCTAGGTGGTAAAGTGCCTGTTGCATGGCACGAGAGCCCTAGTTTGGATCCCCAGCATTACATAAAATCTGGGTGCAGCAGTGAGTGTCTATAGCCCCAGTGATGCGGGCTGAGAGATAGGTTTGCTGACCAGCCAGCTTAGCCAGTGAGTAAGCTCCAGGTTCAGTGAGAGACCCTGCCTCAAAAAATAAGGTGAATGTTGACAGAGAAAGACAGTTCAGTTTCCTGTCAACTTCTGTTTTACACACAAACACACGCACGCACACTTGCTATCTTTGCTTACTTTTATCAACTATGATATAACTTGGCAAGTATTATTTATTTATTTAGATCTTTTTCTTCTTTCCCTTTGGTTTTTTAAAAACCTTTTTTTTATTCTTTTGGCTCTTCTGTGTAGCCCTGGCCGGCCTTGAACTCAGAGATCCATCTGCCTCTGTCTCCTGAGTGCCACCTGCCAACACTGCCTGGCTACATCTTTATTTTTCAGGATGGGGGTTGAATCCAGGGCTTTGTCCACGCTAGGTAAGCGCTCCACACTAAGCTGCATACGCTCCCAAGTCTCTTCTTATCTCACATGTTTGAGGCAAATTAATGAGGCTCTGAAAGGTTTCTGAACACAACTGTTCACAAAACAAAGATTCATGAATGGAGACATCTCTAAATCAAATGTCTGTCAAAGTTCCTGTTTTTCCATCCGTCATTTACAAATAAGAGCTAAGTTTAAGAATATTTACTTGTCATTGGCAATCTACACAATGGAAAAGATTTTTACCAACTACACATCCAACTGAGGGCTAATTCCTAAAATATAAGAAGAACTCAAGACCTAGATACCAAGAAAACAAATAACCCAATTTTAAAAATGGGGTATAGACCTAAACAGAGAATTCCCACTAGAGGAAACTCAAAAGGCTGAGAGACACTTGAAGACATGTTCAACATCCTTAGCTATCAGGGAAATGAAAATCAAAACTACTTTGAGATTCCATCTTACACCTGTCAGAATGACTAAGATCAACAAAGCAAGTGACAGCTCATGCTGGTGAGATGTGGAGCAAGAGGAACACTCATCCATTGCTGGTGGGAGTGCAAGCCCATACAGACACTCTGAGAATCAGCGTGACAGTTCCTCAAGAAGATGGGACTGGATCTACTTCATCAGCTGGTTATACCACTCTTAGGCTTCATTCTACCCCAGAGACTTTTGCTCAACCATGTTCACTGCTGCTCTCTTCAGAACAGCCAGAAACTAGAAATAACCCAGATGTCCCTCAACAGAAAAATGGACAAGGAAAATGTGGTACATTTACACAATGGCATATTACTCATTTAAAAAGAAAATGACATCATGAAATTTGCAGACAAATGGATGGAACTAGAAAAAAATCATCCTGAGTGAGGTATCCCAGACCCAGAAAGACAAATATGGTGTGTATTCACTCATATATGGATAATAGCTGTTAAATCAATGATAACCAAGCTACAATCCATAGAACCAGTGTGGGTATGAAGTAAGGGACTGGAGGGAACAGACGGTTCTCATTAGGAAAGAGAAATAGGCTAGGTGGTGGTGGCGCACACCTTTAATCCAAGCACTTGGGAGGTAGAGGCAAGAGGATCTCTGTGAGTTCGAGGCCAGCCTGGTCTACAGAGTGAGTTCCAGACCAGCCAGTACTACACAGAGAAACCCTGTCTCAAAAAACAAAACAAAATTTAAAAAAGGAAACTAGAATAAATAGAATAGATATTTATGGATGGATGGATGGATGGATGGGGGGTCTGGAATGGGAGGATCAAGGGAGGGGGAAGGAGTGGAAGGGAATATGGGGGAGAGACAGCTAAAATTAAGAGGCATTTGCGGGGTAGCATGGAAATCTAATATAGTAGAAACCTCTTAATATATATATACAAATATGAAGGCAATCTCAATGAAATCTCCAAATAACGGAAGAGACAGAATCCTACCTGGCCATCTCTTGCTACCAAATGAAATTTACAGTACCAGGACTGGATTATGTTTAATTGAGTTGATGGCCAAAGGAACCTCAGGGGAATCCCAGACATCTCAAGCTATTGCCAAGATTACAGGTTGCTCTCCACCTACACAACTCACTGGAGATGTTGAGCTGGTGCCTACATAGAGCCTTCACCCCTACCTGCCAGCGTCATTTTTACAGGAAAGTACTCTGCACGCCACCGGAAGAAAAATGTAAACACCAATAATATTCTGCTATACTCACAGACCAGTGCCTTGTTTAACCAGAAGCAGAGAAGCTCCCTCCTGCAGCAGATGGGAACAAATACAGAGACCCACAGCCAGACATCACAGAGTGTGAGAGACCTTGAAACACTCAGCCCCAAACATCAAATCCCTCCCCTCAGAACTCAGGGAACCCAGTGGAAGAGGAGGTGGAAAGAGTAGAGGAGCCAGAGGATGGAAGACACCAAGAAAAAAAGGCCCTCTAAATCAACAAGAGCAAAGTTCCTATAAGATCACAAAACTGAACAGCATGCACAGGACCTACAGGGGTCTGCACCAGGTTCTAGAAGCTTATACTACGGCTTTCAGTTTAGCGTTTTTAGGGGAATCCAGAGTGTACAAACAAGTGGGTCTCTGATTCTTGTGCCTGCTCTTGGGCTTTTTTCCTTCTGTTGGTTGGCCCTGTCCAACTTCAATGTGATGGTTTTTATCTTGGTATATTTTGTCATTTTTTTTTACTTATTTATTATGTATACAGTGTTCTGCCTCCATGTATGCTTGCAGTGCATGCCAGAGGAAGACACCAGGTCTCATTACAGATGGTTGTGAGCCACCATGTGGTTGCTGGGAATTGAACTAATGACCTCTGAAAGAGCAGCCAGTGCTCTTAACCTCTGAGTCATCTCTCCAGCCCCATATTTAAAAAAAAAAAAAATGAATGAACGAACGGACGAATGAATGAATGTAAACCTAGCCACTAGGGTAAAAGACTGACGATGGAACTGTCATTTCTACCTACTGGAAGAGGAAACTCAGCTTTCTCGAGCGCAATGACACCGAGGATATCGACCGCTCCAGGGCAGGCCTCATGGACAGCAGCCGGCCAGCAAATAATGGACCCAGAGTTTTTTAGGTGTACTTTTCTATGATTACAGTTTGTGGGCTTTTCGGTTTTGCTTTGTTTTGTTTGTTTCTTTTGAGGTGCTGTTCCATTTTGTTTTGTAGGTTTTGGGAGCTTGGGGTTTGTTTTTTGAGAAAGAACTTTAAAGTTGGGTGGGTAGGAAGGAGAGGCCCTGGATGTACTTGGGGGAGGGAAAGAACATGATGAAAATTGATTTACATTTAAAATTGTTTTAAAATAATAAAGAATACTTACTTGTCAATGCACACTTTAATTTTAAGCTGATAATTCAACTCGGGAAATTTGACCAGCAACCTATTAAAAACATATCATCAAGGAAACTTACTAGGCCTCTTACCATGATCTCTAGTTTAAAAAATATATAAAACCCCTAATACCTCAATTTCTAAGAAGTAAATATATTGCTGGGTGTGGTAGCACAGACCTTTGATCCCAGCACTCAGGAGGCAGAGGCGGGTGGAGCTCTGAGCTCAAGAACAGCCTGGTCTACAGAGTGAGTTTTAGGTTACACAGAGAAACCCTGTCTATACGTAACCAATAAATAAATAAATAAACATATTTACGGACCCAGATTCTATCTCCACCCAGAGTTATCTTTGATACTAAAGCTGAACATTGACCCCTCAGCCAAGAAGTTCTGAAAATGCCTACGAACATGAACCAAGCTGTAAGAGACTCACAGAAAGATAATAAAAAGTGTTGAATGAGAAATATTGCTTGAATATGCTCTGCCGCTGGTACTCCTTATGTTAAACCCAAAACCCACACAACTCTATTTCTGAAGGAGAGCTCACAGGGCAGGGCCAACCCTCCACACCTGTCACTCGAGGTGAGGAGCAGGCTTCACCTCCCACCTCAGCTCACCTACCACTGGGCCTTACTGCTCCCATGAAAGTCCTCAAGGAAGAGGACTGGACATCAATAAAAGCTCTACCCAAAGTGTAAAGACCGGGGCCCACCTGACTTTCGTAGTGAACTGGACACCAGTCTTGATGACGAGGGGCCGGTCAGGGTGCATGGGCATACAGGGCTGCCGCTCCACCACGAAGGCACTAGAAGGGGAAGGGATAGCAAGCAGGTCACACGCTGTGGTGACCAGGCAGGCTTCTTCCTGCTCCTTGCTTCTGAACATTAGCTTTTTAGGGTTACCTTTTCATTAGGTTTCTGAACAGCTCCACAATTCTCTCCTCCAGCATTGGCCGGTGCTGCACAATAGGGTCCCCCTTGTAGGACACTTTTTGCTGCAGTTCCTCCAGTTTCTTAATTTGTTGGCGGGTCTGAAGTTGAGATTCTGCTAATGACGTTATCCTGTCAATAATGAAAGGTGGTTCCTGTTACCCCGTTGCCTAGCTGTGAACCCAGCATTCGGGAGACTGCAGCAAAACCTTGAGCCTGGGCTGCACAGTGACTTCAAGGCCAGTCTGAGCTATGCAGTGAGGGGGAGGGAGAAAAGGCCCTAAAGTATTGAAAGGGAATACACAGAGCATAGGATGGCCACTTCAACCATTTGAGACACGTGGCTCAGTGGGAGAAGGGTTAAGACTAACATCACTAGGAGATATCCAGGGAGTTGTCACTGGACTGAGAATGGACTCGAGACCAAATATGAAGAATACCTGTGTTCACATCCTGTCCTAAGCTGTCCATGCACTAAAGCATGACACTGGAAGAGAGCGCTGCCATTCACAACCTGCATAAGCAGGGCCAGGCCCCTTCACTACGGTAGGCCTTAGTGACCCTGAAAGGAGAAGGGGTTGAGCCTCATCGAGAACCCATTCAATGTTATTCTTCGATCAATCATAAACATATAACGTGATATGTCAAATATTGATAACAGGTATACAAAAAAGGTGAGCAGAGGGGCTAGAGAGACAGTCCCTGAATAGCACTTAGGCCTCTTGCAGGGGACCCGGGTCTGGTTCCCAGCATCCATACGAGAACCATCTGTCACTCCAGTCCCAGGGGTTCTATTGCCCTCTTCTGGCCTCCACAGGCACTGCATGCCTATATGCAGGCAAATACACACAAATTTTAAATTTTTATTTCCTTTTTAAAGAAAACAGTACTTACTTAAAAAATTAATTAGAAAAGCCAGACATGATGGCACATGCCTTTAATGCCAGCATTTGGAGGCAGAAGCAGGTAGATTTTTTTTTTTTATGAGTTTGAGGTCAGCCTGGGCAGACAGGGATATATAAAAACAAACAAACAAAAGCCAAACAATTAGAAAAAAATAAAAAGTGGGCAGAGAGGGAGATGAAGCTGATTAATTCTGCCTTCAAGAGTAGGGAATATTAGCATCTCTCTTTCTTTTTAAATCTAATATGTCTCTTTTATGGTTTACCACCAGTTTAATAAAGGCAGAATGTGAACAGGGATCTGAGCTCATGATCCGTCCTTTCTGGCATCTGAACGTCTCATTCCCGGAAATTAAAATTCCTGGAGCCCTGATCAGGAAGCTTTTCCAACTGCCTTCAGCAAATGAACAGCACTCTGTGTCCGTGACGACAGAGATGGGCCTGTCGCATGGACTTGTCCTGAATGCCCAGTTTCATGCTGCATGGAGCGGGGTGCCCTGTCCTGCCAAGCCTCTGGGGCGCGCTCCCCGTGGGCCTCGCTCATGAAGCAAGTTAGACAGCATTCGGAAAAGAGCAGACGACAGGGGACAGCATAGAGGAGAAACCGGGGCCTGGGAAAAGCTCAGGGGCTGAACACGCCCCTGGCTTGCACAAGGCCAGTGAGCCATCTTTCCATGGCAGCAAAGGACAGAAGGAAAGGGACAGGGCAGCTGCTACTGAAACCAGACTTCTAGATTCCCGTGTCCATTCATGACAGATGTCAGGAGACATCATCACAAGACCCTGTGGCTCACTGGTACCACTCGATGGATTTGAATTTTTTCTTTCATTTTACTAATTTTATATATTCCAACTTTCTCCTCCTTTACGAAGAACATATATAGTGTTTTAGATTATTAAAATAGATAAAATGGAGAATTTAGTGCTAAATACAACTAAAAGTATTACTTAAATTTAAAAATCAAATATATGTAAAATGAGTTGATATCAGCATTTTTTGAAGTTAAAAATTTGTTAAAATTAGTTGACAGTTTTGAACTCTTGGACTAAATTTGAGTGTGTAAAAGAAGCCACCTTAAGGCAGACATGGCAATTTATGCCTAAAATCCCAGATACTTGGGAATCTGAGGCAGGAGGATTGCAAGTTCAAGGTCAGCCTGGCTATATAGTGAGTTTGAGGCTGGCCTGTGCAGCTCAGTGAGATTCTTTCTCAAACTTAAGAAAACCAGTGTCCATCTTAGCAGCAGGGTATCCAGGGCTAGAAGTGTAGCGCAGTTCAGCGGTTCTAGACATTTGCCTAGCACAGCACAAGTCCAAGGGAAGGGGTCCACTGCCAGCAATAAAAAGGGAAAAAAGCATGAGTAAGGTAGGCCACTCTGCAGGCCTGTGGCTGAAGCCAGCTCTCTCTTACCAGTTTTCCAGTCGGTCCAGGCAGATGTTGGGAGGGCCTCCAATGCACGCGATCTGCTGCCGCCTCTTCCAGTCAGCCAGCTCTTCGTCTGTGAGTGTCTTCTGCACGTACTCCATTGCTGACAAGAGTCCCGCCAGCTCACTCACAATGCTCTGTTTGGAAACCCAAACAGTCAGGAGACCATGTTCTAACTACATTCTCCAGTCAGTCCCAGAGAAGGAGCCCATTAGAACCCAGTCAATCTTCCCACGATAAGTGTGTGGCACTGGGGAAGCTGTCTGGGAAGCTGTCCAGAACACTTACTCTCCGCATCTGGTCCAGCGCTGTGAGCATCTGTTCCAGCTGCTGCATCTTCTGTCTGGTCACGGACTGGTTGTTTCCGTTCAGATCCTGCATGTCTGATGGGGGAGGAAAGACTCCTTGACCAGGGGGAACACTCACAGCCTTCTCAACGAGGCTCCAAACCCTGTGTGTAAGTGCGGTCCCTGCTACTTGGAGAGCTGAAGCAAGATGGCAGCAGGCTCAAGGTCGTCCTGCCCTACTTGATCAAATCCCATCTCAAAAACAAAACAAAGGTTATCCCACTAAGTGCCAGAAGCTCCCCCTTCTCCTGCCATGCAGTCACGTGAATGAAGTCAGGTCCTGAAACTCAGCGACAAGCCTCGCTTTCAGCAGGTTTTACCGTCTCTAACGTTCACTTGCCTCCTTGGCTCTTGAGGGTTTTATAGTTAAAATCAAAGTCGTCCTGGAGATTCTCTACCACTTTCATTTTCTGCTCTAGATCCTGTTCAAACAAACCACAAACAGAAGTAAGAAAGAGGTTTCCCTCAGGAGAGGGAAAAGACAGTTTTGAAGACAATGAAAATGCGCAGGACCCTGAGGCTCTCCAGCCCGAGTGCCGCTCCCTGGGTGAGGCCTGCTCACCTGCACACGCTTCCGGACATCCTGAAGGTGCTGCTCCAACATCTGCTGCTTCTCTGTCACCACAGCGGCTGTTGGGTGGTTGGCCTGGCCCCCTTGCTGCCAAAATAGGGTTAACACACACGTGAACCCACGGACACCTGCCATCTGAGGGCCAGCCCATCCTATGACTTGTGCTGTTGGGAAATGGGCAGTGACGCAAGGGGGGAGAATGCTGGGAAAAACCCTGGTGTTGATCAGTCTGTGGCACTGGCTTTCACCAACAGGACACACCTTAAACCCAGTCTGCATTAAACTAAGAGCCCACATGAAACTAAGACTTTGTTCTAGCCTTCAAGCAGCTCATGGGTAAATTGTCCAAAAAATTAATTAGAAGTAATAATAAAAATAATAGTAATAATTCAGAAAGAATTTGGGGTACAGTTCAGTAGTAGAGACTATGCTAGCTAATAAATAAATTCATAATAGGTGGCAACAGCACAATGCAATATATTTTCATGAAAAAAAATCATTTCCCAAAAATTTTTAAAATTGTGTTCCCACAGCTTCTGTCAGGGAGGAGAGGCTGCAGCCTTGAGAAGGTCAATCAGGACATGAAACGTAAAATGACTTTGCAAGGAACAGAAAGAGGCTCTGATGATAGAAAAGACAAGTAAAAGCTGCAGAAACAAGATAGCACTTTTGACAGTGGCCCAAGGGTAAGGACAGCAATCTTGGAGAAAGCAGAGCCAGGGGAGACGTCACCCACCCAGTTTTCCAAGCTAGCCGTGCTCACAGCCTGCGCCTACAGTCTAATGGCTCACACCCATTACAGCTGTCAAGGCCCAAATCAGCCCTAACTGCTGCTCTTTTGACTTCTTTTTATTTTCCCGTGTTTCCTGTTCTTGAGGTTTATTTGCTTTATTTTATGTGTATGACTTGCCAGCATGTGTGCACATGCACCTCATGTGTGCCTGGTGCCTATGCAAGTCTGAAATGGGTGTTGGATTCCCTGGAACGGGGGTTATGGACGGTGATTGTGAGCCACTTCGTGAGTGCCGGCCAGGTCTGCTTCAAAAGCGAGTGTTCTCAGCCACTGAGCCAGCTCACCAGCCCTATTATTTGCTTCTAAGATCTGTTTCCAGTCTGTTCTCTCCACTACTGCCACAAGTCTCCCAAGGAGGACAAAACAGGCCAATTTTAAAAAGACATTCTCCCTATGTTTCCTGGCTGCTTAAATCATAGACTCTTCAAAGGCTCGGAAAAAGAACCCAGCCCTACATTTCTCTCATTCTGGGAGCGAATCTGACCGATAAGCTGCAGAGAAGTACCTTAGACAGAGACTATGAAAGGGCCCGGCCCCAAAGCTGCGCCTCTTCCCCTCTCCTAGTTCCTAAACTTGCCTGGGGCAGGAACGATACTGGTCACTAGAAGCAATTTCTGTGTTCAGTCAGCAGTTGCCTAGGATCTCTCAAGCTCCATGTGGATGGTAGGGGGTGTGCTCTGCAGGCTCCCAAGTTCTAACTCAGGGTCGGGCATTGGGAAGGCCCTGTGGGCCAGGCATGGTGGCTCACATACTTCATACCAGCACTTAGGAGGCTGGGGCAGGAGGATCTAGAGTTACCACACAGGCTAGGTATTGAAAGCCTGTCTCAAAAGCAAGCACTAGAGAAACTGAAGCAGGATTGCCATGCGTTTGAGAAAGTCAGCTTACACAGTGAGTTCTGGGCCAGCATGGGCTACAGAACGTGACTCCATCTCAAAAACAAAACAAAAAACAAAACAACCCTGAACGTGAAAACAAGGAAAAGGCCCGTGGAAGCATGGTGGCTACACCAGTAATGTGGCAGAGGCAGGCCGACTATCCCAAACTGGAAATCAGCTGTCCTACACAGCAAGACTCTGAGTCAACAGCAATAGAAGCCCCAAGGCTGAGGATACGGCTTCCACACCCGCCCATCTAACAGACAGGGCCCTGGTTCTGCCCCAGGCACCACATGTACAGGATAGAGTGGTACGCACCTCTAATCCCAGCACTCAGGAGGAGCAGGCAGGAGAAACAGAGTTCAAGTTCACCCTCAGTTACAGTGACACTGTTTGTTAGGGGGCAGAATGGAGGGGCTTGTGCGATTCTTTGCTGTTGTCGTTTTCAATGTATATTTAAGGCTTTGATCTGGTCCAATGTTTCTTCTTCAGTCATATTAAACCATTGCAATTTTACTGCACTGTACAGTTGCTCGCTTCCCAAGTCCCCCGCCCCGCGCTTGGTTTCTTCCCGGTCTCACCTGGGCTGCGGTGGCTGCCGTCTGGAGGAGGCGAGACTCTTCCCACAGGCATCGGGCCACGATCCGGGCGATTTCCATTGGCTTCTCCAGATACCTGCTCTGTACGCAGGACAGAAAGAGAGTGGCTAAGGAGGTGTGGATTGACCTTGGCTAACTTAAAACTCACTTCTGCAACAACAGATCAAAGGCTTCAGAATTGGACTGAAACCCAGAGGGAAGGAAAGGGAGGAGGACGGCGGCCATAGCCAACAGCAGAAATACACGAGTCCATCCTGAGACAGGATATCATCTGGTTTTATAGGGAAGTGGTTGACTTTACCCAGGAGTACTCAGTTAATGGCCAAACTTTTCACATTTAAAACTAAGACGTGTGCCTATGATGAGCAGGTGCTGTTGGCATGCTACTATAACAGAATAACACCAAGCTTTATTGCTTTATTGCTCCAACTGTAACAGGAGACGTGAGTTTCCGGAAATGGTACCCAAGGGTAGTGTACAGGGAATTGAGAAGGAGCTAATTACTTCTGCTCTGATTGAGAGCACAAGGCAGGCTCTCATCATTTGCCAAGTGAGGACAGGACACTAAGACTCCATTCTGTGGGGTCAGTGTCTCCCAGACAGGTTCCCATCGTACCTGCAGGAACTGCTTGATTCTTCGCAGGTTGTGTTGATAGAGGACATTGGACTCTTGCAGGAATCGGCTATACTGCTGGTCAATCTCACCCAAGAGGTTATGAAACACCAGCGTGGCATGGGACTCTTTGCTGGCTGCATATGCCCTAGGAAGAGGGAGTGCCTGCTGTGAGTGATCTGGGGCGCCTGGTATGATAGCACGACCCTGGAACCATGATTGATAGGGATCTCCACAGACAGCAGGATCAAGAGTTCAAGGCCAGCCCTCCTACCTAAGGAGTTCCAAGCCACTCTGGGTGACTTTGTCTTAAAAGCAATAACAATAGGAACAGAAATCACCATCAAGGGATGGCAAGAGAGGAAATGACAGACTGATGCTGTGACCCGTTCATCCCCCATTCCTCTTGTTCGGCCCAACAATACAGCGGCTGGAGGTAAAGCTCAGGGACACAGTCTTGCCGCGTGTGCCAAGGCTCTGAGTCTGAGCCCCAGAACAGAAAGAAAGAAAAAGAGAAATGTCAATGAGAATGACTCCAGATATTGTTACTCACTCTTAAAGTCGATATGACTAATGCATTTGAGCAAAACAGAGCAAATAGAGCAAACTGTAAATCTCGGACGGTGTTACATCTGTAATCTGAGAATTACTGGGAGGTAGAGACAGGCGGATCTCTGTGAGTTCGAGACCAGCTTGGTCTACAGAGCTAGTTCCAGGACAGGCTCCAAAGCCACAGAGAAACCCTGTCTCGAAAAACAAAAACAAAAACAAAAACAAAAACAAACAAAAAAAAAAAAACCAGAACCAAAAGAGGGGGACGACAAGATGGCTCGGTACATAAAACTGCTTTGTTAGGGAAACCTGACACCTCCAGCTCAATCCTTGAAACCTATGAAAAGATAAAGCAGAGAACTGACCCCATGAAATTGTCCTTTGACCTCCACATGTGCACTGTGGTATGTCCACACACTGCCCCGAAACACCACATAAACAATAAGTAAACGAAGAAAGAAACCATACCCACACAAAGAAAATTAAAAAAAAAAAAACAGACACAAGCAGGGCATATGGTTCATTCGGTAGAGCAGGTGCCTTGTAAGCAATGAGGCCCTGAGTTCCATCCACAGAAAGCACATAAAATGCTGGGCATGTCAGCGGTAGGTGACAAACACAGACACACTCAACGGCACTGTTGGAGGTTTCCTCTCTCAAAATGCTTTGTCTGGGCATTTTCTTCCCTTGTAGATATTTTGCATTATATATATGTACACATATATGTGCATACATATTTCTGGTTCTGTGTTTTTATGGGATTTCTGTGTGTGCAGGAACACGTGTCTCTACGTTTTTATGTGTTTCTTATAGTTTTTCTTTGGCTCCTTTTCTTCTGTTGGTTTGTTTCATCTTATTCCGGTTTGTTTGGGTTTGTCTTACTGTTTTTTTAGGGCCTGTTTGTGTTCTAGTGAGAGAAATAAAGGGTATGGAGTTGGGTGGGAGGGGAATTGGGGAAGAGCTGAGGGGAGTTGGGGGAGGGAAAGCTGTAGTCAGAATATATTGTATTTTAAAAAAATCGATTTTCAAAAAAAAAAAAAAAAGCTGGGCATGGTAGCACACATTTGTAATTCCAACACTGGGGAGACAGAAGATCCCGGAGAGTCTGCCCTAATTGGCGAGCTCTAACCCAATGAGAGACCGTGTCTCAAAGGGTGCAGAAGGCATGCCTAAGGATAGAACTTGAGGTTGTGCTCTGGCCTACACCACACACACACACACACACACACATATACACGTACACACTCATGCGCACATACCTGCATCTATACAACATGTATATACATACACACACGAATTTTTTTTAAGAAAAGGACAGATAAGGTTGTGTTTGCCTTAAATTCCCCGTCAACCCAGGCCAGACTGATAAGCGCTTATTAGCATAATCAGAACTGCCGAGTTGGGAAGCTCTGTGTCACCTCCTTGACCCTTCACTAAATCAGGGTAGACATTCTGGAAGAGTAGATCACATTAATACAGGTCAGAGTACATTAAAGTAAGGCAAACAGCTGGCATCATTTCCTCTATGACTCTACTTCCCTTACCCCGTGTCTCTCCTTTAATAGGGGAAGCCAAGTGTGTGGTGGACCTGAATTTCTACCTGAGACAGAGTTCTCAGGTTAAAATATATCTCAGGGTTAGAAAGTCAAATGCAGAGATCTCACCGAGTAAGAGAGACACAAATCTGACCTGAGAACATCTCCCAGCAAGCTAACTGAATGTGCTGAAAGCCCGCTACCCAGATGCTCTCAAACACAGCTTCGGATGCTTTAAGGGACTAAATGACCTCTGTCCTCCTGACCCTCCACCAGCTCCAGCACTCAGGTGTTTGATGGAAGGGGTAGCAGAGGGTGAAGCTAGAGAAAGTCGCGTCCCCAGACTCAACCCCAAACCTCCCAATTCAGGTAAGTCTCGAGGAGGACTTACCAATCTTGACTCTCAATCCAAGGTGCCAGGAACTGCCGCAGCTCCATGGGGAAGCTGTCACTGTACAGCTGGTGCAGCTGCTCCAGGTACCGAGTGTCCAGCTGCTGGAGCTGGTTCCATTGGGCCATCCTGCCGCAATCTGGGGACGTAACTGTAAACCAAAATGAACATACGGTCACCACAAGCCCTCATAGAGGATAAAGAACCCGGAAATGCTCTGAAGCTTTAAGAAGGATCTTGTATGTTTTTATACATTCCTGATTCCTACCAACACAGCTCTCCCAGCCCCTGGGGCTGGGGAATGAACCCAAGGCTTTGAGCCTGCTACGTCTCTGCCACTGAGTAAATGCCCAGGCCCTTGGGGCTAGCCTTGTTATCTGTCTCCTACCTCTGTATCCTAAGTGCTTGGATTTCAGGCATGAGCTGCCACACATGGCTGCATTGCAATTTGTTTTAAATTGCAACTAGGCATGATTCCAACTTCCAGAATCCACTTGCAAGCCAGACACAGTGGTTCCTGCCTGCAATCCCAGCACTCCAAGGATATTCTGAGGGAGTTCAAGGACTAGCCGGAGCTCTAAGCGCGTAGTAAAACCTATTCTCAATAAACAAACAAACAAACAAACAAATAAATAAATGAGGGCCAGGGTCAGAGACGTGGCTCAGCAGTGTAGTTCACTTGTTACTCTGGCAGAGGACCCAGATTCAATCTCCAGCACCCACATGGTGGCTCACAACCATCTGCAGCCCCAGCTCCAGGGGATCAATCTGATCTGACACACTCTTCTGACCTCTGAGGGCACCAGACAGGAACATGGTACACATACATACATCTGGGGGAAACACGCATACACACGAAATAAAAATAAAAAATAATAAAAAAAAAAACAAAGCTGACCAAAGAACAAACCTCTATCCACCAGAGGCGAGTGAGGTTACCAAATCTATCGGTATGTGAGGCTGAGCGGTTTCTTTTCTTCTAGGTTTCCATTTCCTCATCTATAAAATGCAGATCCTTACTTCTACCCCGCAGGGCCACTGAAGTAATATTTCTAAAGCCCTCGTAAAAGCACAGCACCCAAAACATCTTCAACACATGCCAGTTCCTTCCCCCACCACATGGCTTTCAGGCCATCTGTGAAGCTAGACAAAGGAAACCTGCCCTGAGGTGCTGAGGAAGGAGAGCTGCAGGTTTACAAGGGTAAGTAGTAGGTGCCTGGATTATGCCCACTTAACAAAAGAATAAGAGAGGGGAAAAAAAGATTCTAAATCTGTGTGAAAAAGTAAGAGAACTAAATACCATGTAAAAAAAAGTTGATCCTGGGATGGGGCCTAGCCCACTGGAAGCTCAGTTCTAAGAAACCAACTCAGCTAACCACTCATGAAAATGTCCCTCTAAAACAAGTAGTCTTAAGATCTAAAAATAGCCATGAGTAGGAGCCCAAGATTAGGGAGTGGTATGTGTAAAGCAAACACTAGCTGGAATAAAAGCACAGCCTGCCTGCGCACATGCTTCGGCCTGAAGCACTGTGTCTGTCTGTGTAGAGCCCCAGGAAGAAAGCAAAAGCTATTCGTACCCCTACACAAAGGTCAAGTCAGAGTTGGCCTCCTCTAAGGTTAAAAGCATCACCGCGTCCTGTAGTTTTCAGGACCTGATTTGCATGCAATCCGCAGCCAATTGGAGCTGGGAAGATGGCTCAGTTGGCAACGGTGCCTCACAAGTGTTGAGGAGCTGCGTTTGGATTCCCAGAACCCACATGTTAATAAAAAGCTGGGTGTGGTGGTATACGCCCATAATCCCAGAGATGGCAAGATGGGAGGTGGAGACCAGTGGCCCCCGGAAATTCAAGGGCCAGCTAGTCTAGCCTACTTGGCAAAGTTTCAGGCTAATAAGAGACTCTGTCTCAATCCAAAGGTTTTGAAAGGAATGACATCCACGGCTGTCCCCTTGCCCACATACACATGTACCTACACATGCACCAGCATGCACACAAAGAAAACAAAAGAAAATCTAAATGCCAATTACATAAACGACACTACACTGGGCTGCACTGGATCTCAAGACTCCATTGTTCAGCATGGGAGATACCAACCACGTGAGACCGCAGAGCGGCGGGAATGTGGATGGCTCACAACCATATAGGCTGCATACATGCTGGGCGTGATAGCACATGTCTTCAATCCTAGCACTAGGGAGGCAGAGGCAGTTATAGCCAGACTGGTTTATACAGTGAGTTCCAGGATAGTCAGAGCTACATCATAGAGATTCCACCTCAAAAAAAAAAAAAAAAAGAAAGGAAGGAAGGAAGGAAGGAAGGAAGGAAGGAAGGAAGGAAGAAAAAACCAAAGAAAAGAAAATTCACCTGACTTCTATATTTAAAAACAAGGAAATAAGGGTGCTGCTGCTCTGGGCCACATTACGGAAAAGCTTGTGGTCCTAATTAAGTCATCTGCTTGAAACAGTAAATTCCAGTGCTGTAAATTCATTACAAAAACAGGCTATTTCATGGCTTACCTTGAACACAAAAACAGAGCCAATCCCAAGATAAAATCATAAAACTGCACCCACTGTTCCTGCTCCGCCACTGGACCTGCTCCATTTCCAGGCTAACATAAAAGATGCTAAGCTGCCCGCAGCCGACTTGTCTTACCTCGGGGGCTTGTTTCATTGTGATATGTGAGAGGCTTTTGCAGGTCTGGTATAATAAGCGGGCACTTTACACGCCTTTAATCCCAGCACTTTGTAAAGTGGGAGGCAGAGGCAGGCGGATCTCTGTGAGTTTGAAGCCAGCCTGGTCTACAAGCAAGTTCCAGGACAGTCAAGACTACACAGAGAAACCCTGTCTTGAGAGGGGGCAGGGAGACTAATTTTTGTGTTTTGTCTTGGTCTAACGAAGACAGGCAATACCATCAAACTATCTACACGAAGGAAGATTATTCTAAATCAAAGACAAAGAGCTGGTGTACTTCCAGGGAAAACATGGACGGCGTTTAGATGACATGGTTAGTCCAGAGTGTCTAACAGCCAGGTCCCCACATGCTGCTCAGCTACAAAGCATGTTATTAACAGTCGGCACAGGGCAATTGGACTGAGTGCTCTTCACAAGAGCAGCGGATCCTTTAAGATAACTAGCCAAACAATCTAGGAAAACTACTGCCAACTGGCTTTACTGCAATCGTTTTACTGGAAAACATTTAAAAAAGAAGAGCCACTTTAAAATCTCAACTCTATTTTTCAAATTACAAATTGATTTAGAGACTGAGGATGTTGCTCGGTGGCACAGTGCTTATCCAGCATGCTCAGCACCCTAGGTTCCATCCTCAGCACCACAAACACCAGCAAAAACAAAAGCCCAGATTAATCTGAAGGACTTCACCAAGTTTTTTTGTTTTGTTTTGTTTTGTTTTTGAGCAGGAGCTGGCTCTGTAGCCCAGGCTGGCCTTGAACTCCTGACCTCCCTGCTTCAGTCTGAGTACCAGGACTACAGAGTACAATATACCACGCCTGGCTTCCACTCAGTTCTAACTAAAGCATTTCTGTCTTCAAAATCACCTGAAGCCTGAGCTTTAGTAACCACTTCACTGAATGCCAGAACACACAAAGTGATCTATCTGCCCAACAATTTGACTGCCAAATACCATCCTGGGTGGCAGAAGAGGAATCACGTCACTGCTACAGTGGGTGCTTCCTGCTCTGCTGACTCATCATCAATGAGAGTGTACAAGGGACAGGTAAGTGTCTGTGGTGTCTTGAATGAGAATGGCCCCCGTAGGTCCGGATGCTCAGATGCTTGGTGATCAGTTACCAAGGTGTAACTTTGTTGGAGCGGCTTTGAGGTTTCCAAACCCACATCAGGACCTCAGGATGTAAAGCTCTCAGCTATGCTCCAGCACTGTGCCTGTCTGCTTTCTGCAGTGATGACCATTGACTGACCCCGTCAAACTGGAAGCACGCCCTCAATTAAATACTTTCTTTAATAAGAGTTGTTTTGGTCAGGGTGTCTCTTCACAGCGATAGAATAGTAGTAACTACTAACTAAGACAGTGTGATCCTATTTTCTTTCTTGTAAAAATTTGTTTTTATTTTATGTATACGAGAGTTTTGCTTATATACTATGTATCTACACTGTGTGTGTGCCAGCAGAGCATTGAATTCCCGGGAACTTGAGTTATAGATGGCTGATGAATGGCTGTGTGGGTACTAGAAACGTGAACCTACAAGAGCAGTAACTACTCCTAACTGCTGAGCCATCTCTCTAGCCCCTACTGATCCTAGCTTCTCTAGCAAAACAGAAAAGAAAAATGAAACATCACGTTACCAAAGACTTTCAAGACTTCTCAAAACAGGAATTTCTTAGCCCCTTGGGGCTAACCTACAACAGTAAGTCATAAGGAAAATAACTCAGGCCTAATGAGGAAGGATTACCATTCAATAAATCTTCATTTGTATAGTTCATTTGAGAGGAACCATGGTAACTACAGGGGACCACACACGAAAGGGGTTTATCATGCAACCTGGTAAACTTTCTAAGCTAAAGCATGTATTCCACATGTATGAACCTATGACACAGGAGATGGAAGATGAAGAGAGGGACAAAATTCAAATGTACACAAAACCCACAATAGAAAGTGATTCAGAGTAATTTCTGAAGGCTTGTGTACCGGGACTTACCTACAATCCCTGCACTTGTAAGGCAAATAAGAGGCTCAGGAGTTTAAGGCCTGCCCAGCCACACAGAGTTCAGTTCCGGCCTGAGCTACACAGGACCCTATCTTTTAAAAGAAAGACAATTCCTGTTCCATTTTACAATGTGTCAAAAAAAACTTCTCTAGGGGTTACGTATGCAGCCCTGGCTGGCCTCAACCTTACAAAGACTTGTCTGCCTGCCTGTGCCTCCTGGATGCCAAGACCAAAGGTATGCGCCATCATGTCCAACATGTTATGGGAGAAAAAGAAAAAAAAAAAAACAAAAATTGATGTGTTATCCATAGTTGAGGTGAGACATGTACCTTATTTGATTTAAAACATCTCAGATTAAAGGAGCAAGAGCATAGCGAACCTTTGGATTGAAAGTGACACGGCCAGACATGCCTTGTCAACCCCTAAGTGCACAGTCTGTGTTCAGGGCTGCCTGAGAAAGAGTCCGAGCT